AGCCGTGGATGGGTTGCAAGAAGGCTTCCACCAGTCGCTCCGTCAACATCAATCATCCGTGCTGCAAAAGCAGTTGCGACGGGAAGACCAGGGCAAGAAGACAGAAACTTTGGCCACTCTAGCAGGTTCAAAAGTACAAGATATGAGCCATATAGACAGGACCAACATCACAATGAATCTGAGGAGAGTCAGCCGTACAACGAGAGAGGGAGATATTCGTCATCGTTGCTCCCTCCAAGAGATGCATTGCTGCATGTGCCAAGCGTGACACCACCGGCCCCCATAAACCAGGGAGAACAACAAACACCAGAGGCAGCGCAAAGCTATACACATGTAAGTATCCATACAGATTTTTTTTACAAAAGCACAGTCAATACCATGGTGCTGTGACCACCCCATCTAACATTTTTGTTTGATCACTCTTGTGTGCAGCCACCAAACATTGAAGCTTATGTTCTTCCAAGGCTAGAGATGAGGTTTGAAACGTTCAAAGAAAGTAAGAACTTCTACAACGTATATGCAAAGCATGCTGGTTTTGCTGTCAGGGAAGGCCCCAAGTTTAAGACAAGAGCCTACCTTTATTGCACGTGCCATGGAGTTTATGAATCAAAGGTGTCTGAAGCAAATAGACAGCGTAACAAGACGACAGCCAGAACTAACTGCGGGGCTAAAATGAGGCTGAAGAAGGAAAAGGATGGAACATTTGTCGTAAAAGAGATAGTCTGGGAACACAACCACAGGCTACAGCTCACCGCAGAAATGCTTGTCTTCTTGCACTCCCACAAAAACTTTGACAAAACAATCTTGGAGTACGTCAAGTACCTGCAGTTCAAAGGCATTGAACACACGCAAATCATAAGCATTCTGGGCGGTGATGACCCTGGTAGCTACTTCCTCGAAATGAACACCAAAGACCTGATTAACCTATAAGTACAATCTTGTTCTCCTCCCATAAACTGCCTACGTATTTTTCCTCTGTCAGTACAAACATATCACACAACGCATGACCTGACGCCAGTTCAACATGCATTTTTGAATGATCTTTTAATGTGCAGGAAAGCAAATAATTCAAGGATGGATGATGTGGACGATGTCCTAAAGACTGTCAACTTCTTTAAGGAGATGAAAGCTATAAACAAAGAATTCTTCTGTGACATGCAGCTCGATGAGTCCAATAGAGTTAAGAACATATTCTGGGCGAACGCAAGCTGCCGAGGGGTGTATTAGGACTTCGGGGACTGCGTAATGTTTGACACAACATATAAGACCAACAAGTACCATATGCCACTTGGCGTGTTTGTTGGAACTAACAACCACTTACAGAGTACATTCTTTGGTTTTGCCCTGATAAGAGATGAGGATGCAGATTCATTCAAGTGGCTATTTGAGACATTTTTAAGCTGCATGAGAAGGAAGGCTCCTACATGCATCCTCACAGGTACACCCGCTAAACCCACCCTAACCCACCACCCCCTTCCAAAAAAGAAAAGGAAAGTAACACAATAAAAATGTTGTGTCAGTTCTATTGGTATATATGCACAACCATCTGCTGACCACTCTGAGTCTATTTTCTCATTACCAGACTAGTGCCCGGCAATGGCTTTGGCGATCGCAGATGTTTTCAAGAACACATTACATAAGCTATGCCGCTGGCACATTATGAAGAAGTGCAGGGAACACCTCGCGTACCTGTATTTCTTGCACGACGACTTTAAGGATGAATTCACATCAATTCTCAACTGGCCCCTCATGCCAACTGAGTTTGAGGATGCCTGGAAAAGACTGATGGATAAGTACAGCCTCCACGATGATGCCACAATGGTGGGCATGTGGAATGAGCGTGAGAAATGGATATCAGCCTACTTCAAAGAAATTTTCTGCGCCAAAATGACATCGACACAGCGAAGTGAGAGCATGAACTATGTGCTCAAGAAGAACTACGTAAATGAGAGACATAACCTACACCGGTTTGTCAGCCAGGTAAACTCCTGCGTTAAAACCAGGAGGTAGACAGAGAACCAGGAGACAATGGGTAACCGGGTATAGCTCTATCACTTGTCGTAAGACAAAAAATTACATGCTTACTAAAGTAAAAACTTTATTAGAAGTTTTTCCTGCGAGAAAACTAACAATTTGGTCATCATTCTTGCATCTGCAGAAGGAACAAAACACACTGATCTTCTATGGGTTTGACACCCAGATGGCAAAGCTGTACACACGAGCTGTGTACAGCGAGATCAGAGATAGGCTAAAGCTAAGCACTCTCTTCACGGCGACAGAGACGGAAGAACCCACAAAGTACCTAGTGCGCTACAACCACCCGCAAAAACTCTCTGTGTGGGCTCAACACGCGTTCCAGGTGGTTGCAGACCCCATGGGAGAAACATATGAGTGCGAGTGCAGGCTATGGGACCACACAGGTAAGGACTACACAAAAGATGTTACATACTGTACTACTTTTTTTTGCAAAGTTTTTGTTCGAATGAAATAACAAAAAACATGCACCTCTTCCAAAAACAAATATAGGTTTTTCTGCGTCCATGTCCTGTGCATGATGCATACAATTAAGGCTGAAAGCGTTCCAGAGAAATACATACTCAGGAGATACACCAAACGCCCGAACATCCAGCGAACATTTGACAGAAATGATTTGAGGACAGTAACGTCAAACAAGGCATCCCAATACTGCATTGAAAGCTCACTGCTGACGCTGAACATGAGGGTGCACAGAAAAAGCTTGAGAAGCCAAGAGCAAATGGCAAGGACGCGAGTCATCATGGACAAACTTGAACAAGAACTCGACGCCATGCATTCTGCTGAAAATGGAGGTGTCACGGACAATGAAGCCATTGAGCAGGATATTGCTACAATGTTATCTGAGATGAACCATATGGGAGCTATTGACCCGTTTGAGCACGAGGAAGATGAGCAGCAGCAACCGGAGATTACCCGTGTGCACACTCAAGAGCAACGACAAACTCACATGCGAGATCATGAGCTCAATGGTGCTGTAGGTAAACGACATGACAATAGCACATCCTACCAGCAACAACAGGAAAAGGTGATTAAACCCCCAATATTCTCAAACACAAAGGGAAGGAAGAGCAAGACGCAAGCAGCGAAAGCTGCTAAAGCAGCAGCCAAAAAGCCACCATGCCCCATCAAGCGCATGGAATTTGGCCCAGACGGCAAACCCCTCGGGGAAAGGGAATGCGGATTCTGCAACGTCGTGAGCAACCATAACTACCGCGCATGCCCACTCCGCACAGACGCCACTGTCAATAAGAACAAGCAGATTGGAGCCGCCCAGCTTTCTACCAATGGAGACAACACACGTAACAGCTACACTTGTCGCAAGTGTGGCGGAACTGACGGGCATAATGCCCGCACGTGCAAAGTGGGCAAGGAGGTCAGTGGAGCTGAACATGAACAGAGCAACATACAGAGTTCCAAGCAATCAAATGAAGACGATGAAGAAGAAGAGTTTGATGACAATGACGGACAATCAGACGAAGACAATGAAGATGACAGTGTCGGGGGCGAGGAAACTGAAACTGACGATGAAGCTTCCAAGGCTCAACCTGGAAAGAGCGCCGGCAAGACACAACATTCGGGGACAGTTAGGAGAAGCTCAAGACTGAACAATACATAGTGGTTTTCCTGCTGCGTCAACTAAAAAATAACCTTGTAGTCTCAGTTGCATCAGCACACAATGAGGAAGCGTTTCACAAAACACTGTTGTTACCAAAACTTATTTAGCTTTATCGTCGATTTCTCTATCAGAACTAATGTTATCTTTTAGTTTCTGATTTGTGCCCGCTGAAGCAGTGACATTATTATGTAAACCATTTGATAATCATTTTGAATGCAGTCACGAAATACGTTTGAAAAAACTTATCTGGATATATCCGACGCAAAATGCTACTGTGAACCAGTAACTCAGGGAAAAAATATGTCAAGGAAAATTTTAAACTCTTGTAGCACATCAGTACTGATAAATCTCATTCGTCAGTACAAGGCAGAGTACACATCAGTGCTGATATAATTTCTGATTTGTGCCCACTGAAGCAGTGACATTATTATTTAAACCATTTGATAATCCTTTTGAATGCAATCAAAAATAAAATTGAAAAAACTTATCTTGATATATCTGACGCAAAACTCTACTGTGAACCAGTAACCCAGCAAAAAAATGTCAAGAAAAAATTTAAACTCTTGTATTACATTAGTACTGATAACTCTCTGTTAGCAGTACAAAAGGCATAGTAATAACAAACACACCAGTGAACGACTGAAAAAAAATCGGTTTGAAAAAACAAAGCTATGCCTTCTCCTGCCAGTCCCAATTCAGAAAGACTATCAGTACATAAAAATAATTACCTCAAGCAAAATGTGAATATAATACATCCTGTACTGGTGAAAATCTAATTTATCTGTAAAAAATACTCACAGGTTATCTTGATATAAACAATCCTTCGAAAAATATGAAAATTGTTTTAAAAAAACATTAGCACCACACATAGTCTCGCTGGTAATTGGTACGTTCAATCACACTTCAATCACCAGTCCGAGTACGACAGTAGAGGAATTCAGACCTCCACCAACACCGACGCTGACACGTGCAAGTGGGATAAGCAGCTGATAAGTATAGCTTGACTATTCGAATCGGTGCCACAGTAAAATGCCATCATCACCACCGCAGAGACGCGCAAGTGGGATTTTGCAGGTCATAAGTACAGCTTGACAAGACTAGCCAGTTCAACAGTAAAAACCATTTAAATTGGACGGTTAGTTCTTCGATGCCGCCACCCGCACCACGACCACTACACACACGCCCCCGACGAACCGCCTCCCACACACCACCGTCGGCGCACTGAAAAAATACCCCATTGTATTCCATCTCTCCCTCGTTCCCACAAACAACCCTTGCCGCTTCCATTTCCACTGCACACAAACCGCCAGCGTCTCTCTCCAAAGCCCAAAGTCGCCGGATGAAGGACATGGCGGAGGAACCGTCCGCCAAGCGTCATCGTGCCGAGACGTCGGACAAGAGGAGCAACCTCGTCGACATTAAAGTCCCCGGCAAGAAGCGCAACTACACCAGAACGCTCAAAGGGGTTGAGCTCCACGACAAGGAGACGCTGGAGATCGTCTGCACCAGCGAACCAGACAAGGCCGACGAGGTGATCTCCAGGATGTGGATGAAGCTTGGCGGCAGGTTTCGTAGGATCGTCGGCGTTGGTGTGCACTACACCAACGAAGATGAACCTCCCCAGATGGCGGCAGTCCTGCAGTTGTGCGTCGACGAAATCTGCTTGGTGTACCACATCGCCGCGGCCACAAAATGTGAGCAATCCTACTCATTTGCCCTGCATATGGTTTGTCTGTTTTATTAGTACTATAGTTTATGAAGTTGATACACACCATTTTGTGAAGATTGCTACAATATATGGTTTATGAAGTTTATTTTCTTCACTCATTTGCCCTGCATATTAAATTCTGAAGTTGATCGACTGGTGTAGTTTATGAAGTTGATAAAATAGAGTAGTCTATGTACTTGATGTATTAAAAAAGATGTTTCTGAACTGATGTAATGTTATTTTCATAAGAAAATAAACTAAGGACTTGGTGAAGCACTGGTTCTGTGTTATCCTATTCCAACAAAAGTAGACTAAACTAGTACCAATGCAGAACATGCAACATTGACTGAAACTATGTATAATCCAAGAATAAGAATAACATGATGTACTTAATTTAATTTCAGAACTTTCTTTACTAGTTTTTGAAGTACATTCATCCATTGTTTATCCTACATAAACAACTACTTCTTGGATTCATCACTTGTAAAACAAAACAAAAATGGATAATTCAAACATCAAAGTAATGCTAATATTCAAAATGTCTCTGCCCTTGCAGGCCCAAGCGCCTGTCCGACATGCTGCAGCATGACAAGTTGTTCACGTTTGCCGGTTTCAGCGTTGAAACCGACAAAGAGAAGCTGAAGTTGTCCGGTATGGAGATCAACCCCAACAAGTTCATCGACATTCAGCGCAAGTGGAGAGTTCCATACACCGGAAAAGAGTACGACTCCTTGACTAATGTTGCAGCCAGCGTCATCCACCCATTCTACAAAGGCATGAAGAACAAGATCAACACGTAGGAAGACTACAAACTGTGGGGGACAAGCAAGCTGCCAGACAACCTCATCGAGTACGCAGGAGTGGATGCGTACGCCGCGTACAAGTCATGGTTCATGATCGACTACATCACAGATGGTTCGGAATTTGCGAAAGAGCGGGAGGCTAACAACTTCTACGACCACGCCTATTGCCCCTTTTAGGGATGAAGATACATCAGAGCCTGCCTTCGTTTTACTTCCGCTTGTGCTTGCCTTTTATCTTGTTGTTTCAAATTAGAAGTTTGCTCTTGTTGGGTTGAACCAGTATGATTATGTCGTGCTTGTCATGTTTGAACAAGTTTAGTTATGTCATCAAGTACAATGTTTTTCTTATCTCATTATATAAGTTTGGTTTGGTAGCTTCGTATGTTGTTAATCCATCATTTCAAAATGTAAAAGTAGCTTCTGAATGGAACGTTGTCGTTGCTCTAAAGTACTAGTTATGATGCAACTAATCACACAACATTGTTCCATGTCAGCACAACTCAGTACACTTGATTGGACATTGCATACTTACTACAATAAAAAGTACAAAGAAGCATCAGTCCGTAAGCGCTACTATGAATGCACTATCAGTACAACTCAGTCTACACGCAAGTATCATAGTTCTGAAAATGACACCAGAAGACACTTGAGAATAATCACAAAAACAAACACAAAAAAGAAGGCAAAAAACTCAAATGAAAAAAGATTACACTCACACAAAACTGACAAGAACTAGAATAAAAAGTATTAGCCCAAGTTACTGGAGGAGTCAAGTACTAGATTCAAACAAACAAAAAGTTGACCGCCCAAGGTCACGCGCAGGCCCTGACAATGCTAGATACTTGAACTCGAGCCCGTGGGTGAATCCCTAGTAATCCGCACAACACAGGACCCGCTGACCTGGGCCCACAGGTCAAGAGAGAGAGCGAGCGCCGTGTATAAGCGCTCAGGTAAGTGTTCGGAGGAGTTCGACTGGTGAGCATCGGCTCCGCTTATAAATAGGTCCGGAGCCCCCTCGACTAGCGAGGTGGGACTAAACCCAGAGCGCATGCGCACAACGCACTACACAGGCGCGCGGACGAGCTATCTGGGCTGGAAAACGGCCCAATAGCCTACATCGTCAACAAAACACCCCACCAAAATAAGCCCAGGTATACAAACCAGATGGGGGGACAAAGAAATATAAACCACAAGAAAAATGTTTGTCAATTAACCTCTACAAGAAAAAAGGAAAAAATATGATACAAAAACAATGAACCTCTTAAAAGAACAAAACTTAATAGCCTTTCTGTTAAATGTACATAATTTGAAAAACAGAATTAAATATTACTTTCCAGTTCAACTACTAAAACTAAAAAAGTTCAAAACATATAATGTTTGTCAATTATGCTAAAATTCTTATTTATATAAAAACTGACAAGTTCAACTACTAAAGCTCAAAAAGTTCAAACATATAATGTTTGACAACTATGCTAAAATTCTTATTTATATAAAAACTGACAAGTTCAACTACTAAAAATCTAAAAGTTCAAACATATAATGTTTGTCGATTATGCTAAAATTCCTATTTATATAAAATCTGACAAGTTCAACTACTAAAATTCAAAAAGTTCAAATAGAATTTATTTGTCAATTCTGCTAAATCTATTATCTATATATAATTTGTCCACACCACAATGAACGATCTGGTCGTAAAATAATCTCAAACCCCCACCGCCAACCTAAGTTATAAAAAACCCAGTTCAAACATACATACAACATCAGTACTAAAACAGCAGGATCCACTCGCACCACTCTGACATCAAATTTCAAACCCGTGCGCTGTTTGAAATTACAATTCAGTGCACACAGTACTAAAACATAAGTACACTAAATATGAGAATACAAAAACTATAAAGGCCTAACTTAGGTTGGTACAGATGAAAATAAAATAAGTACAATTTATGAGCAACAACTCCCAGGGCACTGAAAAAATGTTTTGACATACAATGGTGTATAAAGGCTTTAATAGAAAAACAATACTTAAATATCCACACGAAAAACATCACAGATCCATAAGTACAGCTTGACTATACGAATCGGTGCCACAGTAAAATGCCATCATCACCACCGCAGAGACGTGCAAGTGCGATTCAGCAGATCCTCAGTACAGCTTGACAAGACTAAACAGTGCACCAGTAAATAACATTTGTCTTGGACGGTTAGTTCTTCCACGCCACCACCCGCGCCACCCACTGGGCGGTTGCCACGACGCACTGAAAACGGCGACCCCTGACGAACCGCCTCCCACACATGCCCCCGACGAACCGCCTCCCACACACCACCGTCGGCGCACTACAAAAATACCCCATTGTCTTCCATCTCTCCCTCGTTCCCACAAACCACCATTGCCGCTTCCATTTCCACTGCACACAAACCTCCAGCGTCTCTCTACAAAGCCCACAGTCGCCGGAGGAAGGCCATGGCGGAGGAACCGTTCGCCAAGCGTCATCATGCCGAGACGTCGGACAAGAGGAGCAACCTTGTCGACATTAACGTCCCCGGCGAGAAGCACAACTACACCAGAACGCTCGAAGGGGTTGAGCTCCACGGCAAGGAGACGCTGGAGATCGTCTGCACCAGCGAACCAGACAAGGCCGATGAGATGATGAGCAGGCTCAGGATGAAGGGAGGCGGCTTGTATCCGAGCTTCATCGGAGTTGATGTGGAGTACACCGACGAGGAAAAACGTCCACAGATGGCGGCAGTCCTGCAGTTGTGCATCGAGGAACTATGCTTGGTGTACCACATCGCAACGGCCACACAATGGTGAGCAATCCTACTCATTTGCCCTGCATATGGTTGATCTGTTTTATTACTATTGTATCCTGAAAATTTAATCACATTTCTTTCCCAACTAGATGTACTAGTGTGGTTTGTAGTGAAGTATTTTCTGAATTTGATGTAATGTTATTTTCATAAGAAAATAAACTAAGGACTTGGTGAAGCACTGGTTCTGTGTTATCCTATTTCAACAAAAGTAGACTAAACTAGTACCAATGAAGAACATACAACATTTACTGAAACTATGTATAATCCAAGAAGAAGAATAACATGATGTACTTAATTTAATTTCAGAACTTTCTTTACTAGTTTTTGAAGTACATTCATCCATTGTAACTCATACTACTGTTCATTCATCTATTGTACCAGTACTAGTCACTAAAAACTTAATTAAAAATTGTTTCCCAACTAGATGAACTACTATAGTCTATGAAGTTGATGCGCGAATACATGTTTATCAAGTTACATGCATTTTTTGAAACTGTGAAGTGGATTGTTTCACCAGATTATTATCTGAAAAAAGTTTATAGCATTCTGAACTTTATGCACCAAATTAATTTCTGAACTTCATGAACTAGCATAGATTCTGATCTTGATGCACTAGTATAGCTTATAGAATTGATGTATTAAAAGATCTTTGGTGAAGTGGTATAGGTCCATATCTTGATGCACATATTTCTCAAACTAATTTTTGAACTTGATATAGAATTAATGCACAAAGATGTATCAAGCACTGGCATAGGTCTTTTATTCAACAAAAAAGAAAACTAAACTTGAATCAAGCAGCGCATATATCATTGACTCTGGTAAAATGATTCTCTAATTTGGTGAAGCATTTGGTAAAGCAAAGAAGATAGCAAAAAATAAAAAATAACACAGTGTAGTTAAATTTAATTTCGGGACTTTGTGTACTAGTTTCTGAATTACATTCATTCATGACTCATAATATATAAGCATCCACCTCATGGATTATCACTTGTAGAACAAAAAAAGTAGAAGAATTAAATCCTCAAAAAAGAAGAGTAATCTTTAAATGTGTGTCTCCCACCTTGCAGGCCCAAGCGCCTCAAAGACTTCCTACAGGAGGAGAAATTGTACACATTTGTCAGTTTCAGCATTGGAGGTGACAAGTGGAAGCTGGAGAAGTTTGGTTTGGAAATCAACCCCAACAACTTCATCGACATGCAGCGCAAGTGGAAAGATCCAAAGACCAACAAATACTACGACTCCTTGGCCGATGTTGTAGGCGGCGTAATCCACCCATTCTACGAAGGCATGAAGAAGAAGATGAACAGGGAAGACCACAAACTGTGGGGGAATAGCCCGCTGCCAGACAACCTCATCACGTACGCAGGAATAGATGCATACGCAACGTACAAGTCATGGAAGACAATCGACAACATCGTGACAGGTTGGGATATTTCAAAAGAGCAGGAGGCTGACCCCTACTACCACCGCAACTTCACGGATGAAGATGCATGAAAGTCTGCATTTGTTATGTTGAACCAGCTACCTTATGTTGTGTGTGTCCTTAGAATTGTTGTTTCAGATTTGTAGTTTGCTTTCGTTATGTTGAACCAGCTACCTTATGCTATGTGTGTCAGGGTTTGAACAAGTTTGCCTATGTCTATCAAGTACATCGTTTGCTTATGTCGTCCAACAAGTTTGCTAGCTTCCTATTTTGTTCATCCATGATTTGAAGTTGAAACTTAATGGCTTCCATGCAGCACTAGTCATGGAGAAAAAAAATAACACATGAATATTTTCGCAAAAAAAAGTGGCAAACTAAATAAAGGCCAAAAGCAAATAGTAGCCTTCCATGCTCAGTACAGCTTAGACATGAACGGTAGTACTATCACGCTAAAAAAATAGTTTTTAGTTTCAGAAGAACACTAAAAAGACTAAGTTTCAGCCGAGGACAACATTCAGTACTAAAAAGCATCGCGCTAAAAAGTAGTTAGAAATTCACTAAGTACTGCATCAGGAAAAGCAAGAGAAACACCGGTACGTATTTCCTAGTCACTAGCATCCTAGGACTGAAAGTTCTGGTACAGTTGAACACACGGTACATTCATTCTACAAATATATAAGAAGGAATGGGAAGCTTCAGTTCGCATTCCTTAAAGCAATGACATACTAAGAATTAATAGTAGCAATACAACTGAAATCTCAGT